AGGGGTGGAGTTAGGGGCGGGGTTTGGGGTCAGGGGCGGGGTTTGGGGTCATTTGCATACCCAGTCCCTAGCACTCATTTGCATATCCACACCACCATTTGCACACCCATACCGTCATTTGCATGTCCCCGCCCCTCATTTGCATATCCCCGCCCCCTCATTTGCATATCCACGCCCTCATCTTCTGACCCCGTGTCCCCCCCCCGCCGCAGGGACCCGAACCGCCCGGTGCCCCAGGACACCAAGTTCGTCCACACCCTCATTTGCATTTCCACGCCCCCTCATTTGCATATCCCGCCCCTCATTTGCATATCCCCGCCCCTCATTTGCATATCCCCGCCCCTCATTTGCATACCGTCCCCCTAGCCCCGCCCCTCATTTGCATATCCCCGCCCCCGTTTCAGGGACCCGAACCGCCCGGTGCCCCAGGACACCAAGTTCGTCCACACCCGCCCCAACCGCTTCGAGGAGGTGGCCTGGGCCAAGTACGACCCCCGGGCCCAGCTCTACCTGCACATCGGCCTGCGCCCGCGCGTGCGCGACCACTACCGCGCCACCAAGGTCGCCTTCTGGCTCGAGCTGGTGCCGCACCTGCACGGCCTGCGCGGCGACCTGCTGCTGCAGTACGTCTCCACCACGCCCACCCAGGCCCCGCCCCTCCCTGGCTCCACCCCCTCCACCGCCGACGCCGCCCACCACCCCCCGGGGCCCTTCCCGAAGCTCTTCCACGCCACCCGGCGCCCAATTTCCCCGGGCCACGCCCAGCCCGGCGGCCATGACGGCGCCCGGCGCCCAATTACCCCGGGCCACGCCCAATCCGGCGGCCATGACGGCACCAAACGCGGATTTCGGGGCCCCGGCGGCCCCGGCGGGGGTCCCGGGGGCACCGAGGACGCCACGGTGCTGATCGAGACCAAGCGCGACTACTCGACGGAGCTGAGCGTGACCATCGCGGTGGGGGCCTCGCTGCTCTTCCTCAACGTCCTGGCCTTCGCCGCGCTCTACTACAAGAAGGACAAGCGGCGGCACGAGACGCACCGGCGCCTGCACCGGGGCGACCGGGGTCACCCCAGGGGTCACCACGGGGTCACCGGGGTCACCGACGCCGCCACCAAG